ACCTTAAGAACATGTTCTTTAATCCCCGAATGGTCCATTGCAAATCAAGAGTTTAAAAACGTACTATATATGTAAAGTGATTATATCATCTTCTAATTCTACTTTCAAAATAACAAAAAAAATGTGTTACTATTGTGTTATCACTTGTGTTGTGTATGTGGGAAAATTTTGAGAGGAATCATTTGTCTTGACATTCGTTCAAAATTACGCAAAAACTTCAGGAAGTAAACTTATTTACAAAAGAAAGAACTTCTCTGAAGTTGTTTTGTCTCATTGATTTTGCCAATAACTTATTCACTACAATTGCAATATAACCAAAGCAAAAGCAAAAGCAAAATGAACTATCATTTCAAGTCTTTATAAGTAGCTAAGAAAGACATTGATGAGAGACCGCGATAAGTGGTTTTACTTGCACTTGTTCTTGGTTTTTTGAGGCAATACCGTTGGTTAAAGCTTTGGTTACGAAATGCGAAATGATTCCAATCGGACCGAAGAGAAGGCAAAGAGAAACCGAATGCCTCGTCTCGATCTGATTCTCTAACCCATCATTAAAAACTTGCCTACAGAGTAAAACCCAAAACAAGCGTTAATTATAAGAAACTTGTTTGGACTTTGGATCATTTCAAAACCCCGAAAAATTGCAATATACCTTGCAGCAAAAAGATCTACAACAAGAAGATGAATCCAAGCAGAACCAAGAGTCATTTCACCTGAGAACATTTTCGCTATTAATTAACTAATAGGCTAATGACGTAAAGAGCAAAAATGTAGATAATGTCACAGAAGTAGGTATATAATCACCAAGATCCAAGTCAATGATGTAAGACCATTACGTCTCTTTCATACATATAAATGTACAACTTTTGCACTACTAACATTATTGCAAGCCTCATACGAAAACAAGAAACCCATTCTAGTGACAGAGAGAAACTAAACATAATGGCATTTAAGTACTTTATTTCATATAAGTAAAGACAACATAAAATGTAAATCAATCCCAATATTCAAACTTCAAACCATTCCACGCATCTTTTCCTCCTAGCGATATTGCAGCACGTGAAATCCATTCCCTATTGCAGCATGTCAAACCATTCTCAATTCCAAGACTCGCATGTTTTGTGTAGGCTTTTTGAACTCGTACGATGACAAACCATGATATTGAAGCCCCTGGATCTAAGATTCAGAACATGCTTTGTGAAATCACTATCGCCAGATATGAGCAGTGTATGGGATCGCTTTCCAACATCTATGGCATAGATAAAGAAATCTTGAATCAGTAAGACAACTGCCAAATCAGTTGTGCGATTGTATCAACCTAAGAGAATATAAATTTCAATAAGAACTTTTAAATAAGAATTCAAAGCAAAAACTTTGAATAAGATCACTAATCAATTTTACAAATTCGATTAACACTGCAACTTATGCAAAAAACCAGCATATTAAAACCTCAATTGCAGTATGAAATCAATAATCCGTGATGATCTAACAACCTAAGTTTTTCATAGAATAAAGATCGGATTCACAATTGCAATTAAAAAATAATTAGAAATCATTGCAAACTATATCACAGATGCA